CGGCCAATAAACTTCATATTCTCATGCTGCTTTAGATATTTAAAAAATAAAAATATATAAATATATAAAATAAACAATATTTTCAGAAATAATACAGTATCCAATTTTGTGTTTTTTCTTTTTTATTTCTTTTTTTAGTTGAATATAACGAAGCTCAATAAAAAACAAATCAATGGAAAAAGCAAAGACAAAAGCTTAAATCATATAGCAAATATTGAATTTTAATAGCGCAATATAATTATCATTATATTAACCAGAAAATCTATATCATTTCGATGCAGCGTAACTTATGATCTACATATGCATGGATAATTTTAAGCATTATTCTCAATTTCAAGTCATTTCGGAGGATTGCTATAAATAATTTGTTACACTTTATATACATTTAGTACATGATAATTCAAAATTTCAAAATATTTTACTATTTTGATGAAAGCTAAATGAAAATTAGTTTAATTACATTTTGAGTGCCCTATAGACGAGGGCTTTAGCTTGTAATCAGAAATTTAAACTCTCTTTCTACGAACTTGGCCAGCTTTCTTAGTGTATAATTTTTATACACTCACACTTCACACTCTACCAATATACCCCGCATTTTTGTAGTCGTGAACGAGCATACAAATATGTTAATAGCCACTTCAAAAATGCACCGCACATTGCATAGTTATAAAACGGTTTTAATGAAACACATATACATTCATATATAAAGGCCAGATGGTCATCAAAACTCTGCTCCAGTTTACATTTTTATGCATGTGACTTGGCCAAGCTATAATCCACATACACATAGTCCATTTTGGTATAGTAAGCCAACTGGGCCATGTTTGACTCGTTAACAATAAGCCAAGCCGTGTTAAATCGTATTAAAGGCCGCGATAATTGGCTGCCAGCTGTAAAATTTAACAATCATTTTATGCGGCTCTGCAGTTTTGGCCAACTTTGTTTTTGACAAACTACAATGAGTGTAAATGTGTATACATATTTGTGTGTGTGTGTGTGTGTGTGTGTGTGTGTGTGTGTGTGTGTTTGCTTGTGTAAATTGGCGCACTAAATGCGTATTAACAGGCAGCAAGCTTTGGAATTGTCCTCGGGCCTGATTATAATGAAATATGAACATTAACCGCATTAGTTTAAATATACAAATATACCGCAAAAACGTTAAGTAAATACGACAACACACACACACACATACATCGGGCAGCATTTGCTTTGTGGCTGGGCGGCTTTATATAGGAGCTGATAGACAATTTTGCTCTGCATACAGGGCTGAACAAGAAAATTTAATAATGAAATTGAATTTACAATTATTTTTGTTTTGTTTACGCACACACACACACACACACGCACATATTTGTGTGCATACATATATAAGTACTTAGGTACATACGCAAACAATGGCTCATGCGTGGGCTACTCTCTTTTTCTATGAATCTGTGTGAGTGTATGACTGTGCGTGTGTGTGCGTGTCTTTGTGTGTGTGTATGTGTTTGTTATTGGTATGGGACTCCGTCAATATTTGATTTGTGTTAAGCGTTAAGTCGAGGGCCACATCAAAGCAACTCGTCGCACGATGACAATGGGGCGCGCACTTAGGTTTGGGTTTGGGTTTGAGGTTGGGTTGGGTTGGGGCAGGGGGCTGGGGCTGGGGGCTGGAGCTATAACTAAAATGTGATTAAAAGCCCTTTTGTTTGCATATAGTCAGCGGACAATTACATATCAATTAATGTTGAATTAAAGCTGCACACACTCACACGCACTCACACAGTGCCATATAAACAATGCAATTAACAGCCGGACAGAGTTAAGAGCTGTTGAGTCGTCTCCATCCATCTCTCTTTGTCTCCCTCTGTGTCTCCCTCTGTGTCTGCCTCTCTGCCTTGGAATGAAGCAATCCGATGCTCAATTAACGCAAACAGTAAAATCTTAAGTAATTGCAATAAAACAGACTACCTGAAGTACATATTTTATAAAGTTACTCGACTCGGCAGGTCGCTGCCAAGTAAATATGCCATAAAAATCAGCGCTCAAGCAGGCTGAAGGCACTGCCGCCAGGATAAGGATGAGAATGTTGACGACGACACCGGCAACGGCAACGGCAACGGCAGCGGCAGCGGCAACGGCACCGACACCGGCAGCAACTGCGACAGCGACAGCGACAGCGACTGAGACGAGGTAAGTCAGTCAGCCGAGGCAGGCGAGGACACCAGCCTTATCGGCATCGCACCAAATGAAGAGCTTTCACATGTCTGGCACATAAAATGGAACGCTGTTAAACGCACCATGGGGAATGGGGTGCTGTGTGGTGGCTGGGTGGTTGGGTGGTGCGCGGCAGTTGCTGGTGTGGTGCGAACGGAGTTGAGCCAAAGTTCGTTCGGTGTCGGTGTCTAAAAACGGCAGCAGCCAAAAATTGCTTATGTTTTCATAAAATGAAGCGCAAACATTTTCTGACTGAAAAGCATAATAAAAACATAAACAACAACAAAAACAACAGCAGAGGCAGCGGCAGCGGCAACGGCAACGGCAACGGCTACGGCATCAGCCGAGTAGAAATACGCGAAATTCTTTTGCCTTGAACTCGAAGAGGCTGTAATCTGATTTTATTATAATTTTGATTTTGCTTTCTTTTCATAAATTTTATAACAAACTCGCAGCGGGGCAGCCGCACGCACCCACGCCCACAGCCACCGAGAAAAACTGAAGGGGAAGCAAGAAAAAACAATGCAAAGCAAAAACCACCGCCAATAATAATAATAATCATAATAACAGAAACAACAACACCATCATCAGCAACAACAACAACAACAACTAACTGAGCTTAACTTTTTGTTGGCCAGAATGCGTAGCTTGCCTCAAGTCTTATATTTTTGTCAGTCGCCAAGCAGGCGTAAAATAATAAACGCGAAATAAAGTGGAGCCGCACAAATACAGGAAACCGCACACGCATACACATGTGCGCTCGTGTGTGTGCGTTTGTGTGTGTGTGTGTGTGAGCCACACGTGTTGCCCAAATGGCGCTGCCTGAGTCTCGGTCTCTGGTTCGTCCTTTTGGCTGTTCGCCGAAGCGTTTACACTGATTTTCGCTTTCAGTCAATTTTAAAGACAACTTTAAGCCGCATAGCTAAACAAAGCAACAACAACAACAACAACATGAAACAAACAACAAGAGCAGCCCATTTACTTGCTGTTACATTTTTAATGAGATTAAAATAGGCTCACACAACACGACAGCAGCAACAACTTTCACACACTCAACACCCGCAACACACACACACACGCACACACACATAGAAAGGCGGGCTTAATGTAGGTGCGTACTTAATGGCAATTTGGGGACTTGTGCTTAGATTTTTGTTGTTTTTGTTTTTGTTTTTTTTTTTTTAAAGAGTTCTTCGTTGCCGTGCCACGCCCTCTGCCCAGCCGTTGACTTAAAAGGCTAAAGAGCTTTTGTGTTTTCGGTGGGCATGTCGAGCTGCAGCGCCGCCTTGGCCACTCATTAATCTACGAGGCATTAATTTCTCACCGCAAAATCCAATCTAAATTGCATAAATCAACAGGCCGTAACGAAGGGTGTGCACGCCCACTCCGCCCACCGCCCTTTGGCGCCCTGTAACAGTAATTGGGTCACTTGTATGCGAAAAACCAGTGAACTGTTGCATGTGCGCACATGATGATGGGGTGGGGGGAAGGTGAGGAGGCGAACGGCATTTGGATATGGCATTTGGCTGGCAAAATTCATTGCAATCTCGCAGCTACTTTGTCAAGCGGCAGCTGCTAGAATTACATCAGCGATTGCAGCTAGAACAATCAGAGGACTCCAGATGCAATTCGAAATGAGCCCATCGAAACCGGCAACGCTCTCCGCCAGATTTGTGTGCCCTAATTAATTAATTGAAATTCATGAATTGCACATGCGACTGGCGCTCCAAGTGCGATGCGACGCGATGCGATACGATGGGATGCGATGCGATGCGATGTGGCGCTGGAAGCTCGCTGGCAACGGTTCGAGCTGATGTTGCCGCCAGCATTGCCGCATATTAATTGCAATCAAAGCTCAATGGGCGACGCCCCCAACCACACACACACACACACACACACTGAGAGACATACATTGTCATTTACATATACATTTACAGCGATCCATAAGCGTTTAAACAAAAGTGTGTGGCAGCAGATGTTATGAAAGCTGAGCCAAGAGCGAAAGCCGCTTAGCCACCGAGGCGTGTTTTAATTTATTAATGGGAATTTATCGAATAGCGACAGTTCCACTTTTTGTTGACTGCAATTCCCAAGCTGTGCATCTCCCCCGCTCTCCCTTAGCCACTCTCTTTCGTTTGACCCACTCCTGCTGTTCCCTGTTCCCTTCATCTTCATCGGCGGCTTATCTATGCGTCGCGTAATTTCGTTTATTAAGTGGCACTTAATTTAGTAGGCGTGCGCGCTTTGCCTTTTCCCCAATCGACAAAATATTGAAATTGACAGCCCAGCTGAAGTTGGCCTATTGGAGTCGAGTCGAGCAGGTTCGAGTAGTTGGCTTACTGGTTTTTCGGTTTTCGGTTTTCGGATTTCGGTTTTCTATCAGCCGCTGAGCCACTGTCATTTAGCCATTAGGGAAATGCCAGTAGCTGAACGACTATCGATTAGGAAATTCATGATATATCTGTATCACTTAGCCAAGCGCAAAGGTTTCTCTATTTACATGGAAGCGTGTGACAGGCGGAACTTGTTGACCAACACTGGCGGAGTTATTTATTGAATAATATACTATAGAAATATATGTATTTAATGCACATATATAATTATATTTGACATTTTAAATTATTTGAACAATTACTTTGCTTGTGAAAGATAAAATTTCTTAATTTATAGAGCGATCAAAAAAAAAAAACTATTGCTCAAAATTGAATAGTTTTATTGTATTATATAATTTAATTATCAATTATCAATTTACGTAAATCTAAGTGAAATATTGTAATTTCATTTCACTTAATACCCAATAGCTGCACAGCCTTCACTGTACAGTCTTCACTCTTAATGGAAACCCAGCAAAACTATTGATGGATTAACACTGGACATATTGAAGCGAGTAATGCGAAATTGAAACTTACGCTTGGCCATTTGAATAATGAGCCTGTTTACTCAGAATGGCAGAGACATAAATTCAAGATAAAAGCCAAGACAATAAAACATCTCAAGCCATTTCATTGTCTCACTGCAATTTCTTTGACTACATATTATTCTTATTTGGTCAGGCTCTCTCATTGTATTACTTATGCAATCAAAAGCCGACAAAGTAAATAGCCTGCAGCTGGTTAGCCAACACTGATTTTCCAATTCAATGACATTTATTTGGGAGTTTGTGTAGTCAAAGTAAGATTTATAAATGCTTAATGTGTTCATAAATAATTAATATTGCTTTTTAGCTTTCATAGTCCAATAATCATGGTGTGTGCATAATTTGTTGTCCTTTTATGGCTCGGGGCATAGAAAAGTAGTCAATAAATCAAGCAAATTCAATATAGAGTATGAAAAAATATTTAATTTAATCAAGTATTTAATGTATACAAATATTAAAAATAATTTATGTAATTCCTAAAACTTGTATAAATTTTTATATACCTTTATACGATTATTAAATAGATACAAATCATAGAATTTGTAAAATATAATTTATATAATTTCTTAAAGCTTCTACTAACTAAATCTACAAAACTCTTAAAAATTCTTTTCAATAAATAATTAAATACATAAGACTCCTAAAACTTCTCAATGCTTTAACAAAGTTACATAACTTATTTAATATATACAAATCTTAAAACTTGTGCTAAATTCCATAATCCCATCGTTAACTTCTATTTAACTTCAGTCGAGTAAAAATATTTTGATACTTTAAGCCATGTGGACGACACATAGGCCAGCACGTTTAGCTCGGCAAATGTTGGCCTAATCAGTGGAAAATGTTTTCAAAACATTGCGGAGCGCCTCATCAGTTGTGGGCAAAAGTGGGCGAGCCAGGCGACAACCGAAACCAACTACAACATGGAGATAAACAACAGGCGCACCGCAACAATAACAACGACGACCACTGGGCGCAATTGTTTCGAACTCGGGCGCGCTCTCTTCGGCTGTTAACAGCACGAATACCGTAAATTTCGAAATGTCGAAAGAGCGCGCCAAGTTTAAGAGCGAAGCGTGTTCGAAAAGAGCGAGTTCGAAAATGAGCTTGAGAGCACGTCTTTCGGGTTCCTGTTGTTGTTGTTATTGTTGCTGTTGCTGTTCTCGTGGCTGTTAATGCCTGCCTGGTCGTCGTTATGTGCGAAAGTCACGAACATTGGCCGTCGTCTAACGAAAATGTGTATGTGTCACAGTGGGAGTGTGTTAGTGTGTGTGCGTGCGAGCCGCTCGTGTGTCGGCATGTGCAAAACTCGCGGATGTAGATGTAGGCCAATGGGTAGTCGACGACGACTACAAGTACACGAGCAAAGGACTACAAAGCAACAGCAACAACAATGCCAAACAGAAAGAGAGCGAGAGCGAGCGCGTGGGAGCAAGAGAGAGACAGTGAGACAATGAGGCGGTGAGAGTGGGAGAGCGAGCACGCGGCTAGTATGCCACACAAATGTTGAATAGTTGCGGAAGGTTATGAATTTCCGTGAGAAATTACTACAAGTAATATGTGAGTGCTATATGCGCATACATGTATATGCTGCCAGCGCGATTATGTGTGCATGTAGGTGTGCCTGTGCATGTGTGTGTGTCTGTGTGTGTGCATGCATGTGTGTTAGCCTGATTGTGAATACAGGTCCTGTTTTAGCTCAGGCTTTAGCCAGAGTCGAAGCTGGCGTTGCTGCTGGAATTTGAATTGGTATAGGGATTGGGCTTATGCATGGCCTGTTCGCTCGTGTGTGACCACGTGAAAGTCGGAGGCGTTGTTATCCATCCCACCAACATAGACCCTACATGTGTGTAGTGTGAGTGTGTATGCGTGTGTGTGTGTGTGTGCTCATGTGTGCATGCTGATAACAATGTTGCACTTGCTAATGCATTAATTTTAATGCATTTCGGTGTCGCATAGCTCCTCCAGCTGGGCCGTTTAAATTTCCGATGCTCCCACAGGACACAAGTTCCAGTTACAGTTCACTTAATTATGTGAATGCCGTTGAGCTGCTTTTGCAGGCAGCAGGCAGCAGGCAACAGACAAGGCAAGGCAAGCCAAGACAATAACAAAAGGAGCAAAAGTCATAGCCAAGTGTTGAGTTATCCATCTTAGCTTTGAAGGTGCCTTGGCCTTCCTCTGCTTTTGCTTCTGCTTCTGCTTCTGCTTGCTGCTTCTACTTATGCTTGCTGCTCATATTTATGCCCCCTCTTTGCCATTTTTATCTGCTGCCTTTTGCATTGCTTATGATCAAAACTCTGGCAAAGTGTCGTCCTCATCATTATCGCTTTTGTTTCAAGCTGCTGCTGCTGCTGCTGCTGCTACGGCTTCTGCCCGCAGCAAAAGAGCTATGGCAGAATCCTTTGGTCCTTTGGCGCCGGCCTGACACTTTTCTGACATTGTGCAAATGAATAATTGTGCTTTTCTTTGCCGGCAGTGCAGCCCGCCCAGCCACAGCGACAGTCCCAGCCCCGACCACAACAACTGCACATCCGTTCCACATCGCTCGCTCAATGTCTCATCATCATCCTCGTCGCCGTCGTCGTCGTCCTCGTCGTCGTCGTCGTCGTAGTAGTCGCAGTTGTCGTCAGCCTCGTTGCTCATTCGCTGGGCCGTTGTCATCCTCATCAGCAGCAGCATTATCATCATCATCGTCGTCATCCCCTGAATCATCATCATCCTGGTCATCGTCATCGTCATCCGCATCCTCATCGTTGTCCTCATCGCCTGTGCTGGCCGACCACAGCCAAACAAGCAGCTAAACAGTCGCTTAGCCAGCCTGTCTACTGACCCCTTTTCAATGGGCATCCGCTGGATATGGCAATGGCCAGCACTGGCTGGACAGCTCTGGCTGGACATTGCCATCCTCGATTCCACACTGTTTGCCCATTCATTTTGTTTCTGTTTGCGCTTTGATTGACGGAGCTACGCTGAGCTGAACTGAGGCTTTAGCTGCTGTTGCTACTGTTGCTGGTGCTGCTGCCGTTGCATGTCCTTGCGCTTGTCCTTTTGCTAGCCAATGCCATTGCGCTTTGCCAGCGTTATTAATGATTTCTCCAAAGTTTTCGCTACATTTTATGCTACATCTTCTGCCCGGCTGGCCCCCGGATTCTCCGCTTGTTTATTCTTGTTATTGTTGTTGGTGTTGTTGGTGTTGTTGCTGTGGCTGTTGTTGTTATTGCTGTTGTTGGCATATTGTTGATTGTTCTTTTATCTCGTCTCTGTCAATTCGCTGCGTTATATTGCTGCGTTTCATTTGACTTTGGGTTTTGAATTTCCGTCAGCTCCCATGGGTAGCCAACATTTTGGCTTCCTTCTCGCCGGCCATCGCCCGGTTGCCGGTTGCCCAGTTGCCCGGTTCCATTTATGAGCAGCTCAGCCGGAGTTTGGTTACGTTCAGTTGATCCTCGAACGCCTTTTTGCAGCTTGCTTTTGTCTATCTGCTTACTTGCCATTTCCCTTCAGATAAATACTTGTCAATCAGTTATTAATTGCTTTTCAAATTTTATTGAATTTGTGGTTTCTGCTCGTTGCGAGCAGCTCGTCTCGCTCTCCCTTACTCCCCCCGTATCCCTGTCGCCCTCTCCATTGATTGGCAAGCCAATGCCCAAGCTGCAGCTCGACTCCATCTCCCTAAGCTAATTAACCCAGACGATTCCCACCGCCGCTGCAGAAGTATAAATGCAACTGCCCTCAAAAGTCAATCAATTCCAAGAAAACTGTTGCTAGGACTTTTGCCGTCGTTGCCGTCATTGAAATTCACAGAATACATTTCCTGTCACTGGCAAAACTTGGCACTACTTTTAATTATAGTAAAATATACATTTTTATGCATCATAATATCAAAAGATAAATAAACTTGTAAGCAATAGTTGAAAATATATCTTTACAGCGCAAACTGATTTTTTATGTGATAATTTAATTTATTTTGCTTTAAGATATATTAGTATTGATATGGATATACATACCTGTGAAATATATAGAAGAAATAAATTAATGCAAACCATCAAAAAGTGTTGGAATTTAGGAAATATACAAATATACATTATTAAAAATATTTGTAATATTTTTTTAATTTTCCTTTTTTTTTATTTAATAATAATTATAAGCAGTTTTTCAAATTAATCTTATTATTTAAATTATTATGAGTTAAGAAATCAAGTTTATCTACTGAAAGTTTCCACTTTGGGTTTCGGTGGAGATTGCAAATCTTTTATTTATTTGACAGTCAAAAATTTTAATGTAAGGACGCACATTGAATGCAACTGATTTGAAGTAAATATTTCATAAATAATAAATATTATATAAATAAATTCAAAAACAGTTTTGCTGATGTGTTTATCCATCTGATTGATATGGGGGATACAAAAAAAAGGCAGCAGATGCAGAGAAAGAAATGCGGAACGTAATATGTCAATTTGTCAGGTGAGCAACCCGTTATCAGCGACAGCCTTTCATTTAAAAGTCAGATTTCTTTGGCATGGCAATACCGATAGAGCACGTTAATTGCATTTCTTGGCCATGTGATAGACGACGACACTCGGCGTGTCAGCTGGCAGTGACACAAGACGAGCGAAATTAACACCAAGTGATGGCTGTGTGGCTGACTGAGTGTGTGTGTGTGTGTGAGTGTGTGGCTGACTGTGTGTGTGAAAGTGTGTGCTGAAAAAGACAAAGAGTTGGCAAGATATGTTACCCACTCATGTGCAATGCAATAGAGAAGGCGCCAGCCAGCCACAGCGAATGTGATGCACATAAGACCAAGAGAGCTCTTGCTGGCTGGCTGCTTGTCTACTCAAAAGGTGTGTGTGACCACATAACTACACACACCAGCACACACACACACACACACACAGCTGAGGAACAGCGAAATGCAATTAGAAAATAGATGTGGCCAAGCCGAATGTTCATGTTGTTGGTGGAAATACATGCACCGCACCAGAGCAGAGACCACACAGCGAGTGCATGCTGGGCGCGCACTCTCCATTTCATTAAATGCGCTCCGATGTTTATTAAAATGCATGAAATACTTTTAAAAACAATGCAGAGGTCGGCAGAGCACTTTGTTGCTGTCATGTTTATGAGACAGCAGCTGCAGCAGCAGCAGCAGCAGCAGCAACAACAACACTATTTAATGACAGCAACAACACAGCTGAAAGTAATTGACTCTGCGCCTCACTGGCCAAACCAATTGCCATACAGACGGCCAGCGATAGCAGCGGCAAATGCAGTTCCTGGTTTAGTGGCTCGTTTTTGTTTTTGGTTTACTTTAGTTCTGCATTGCCGGCTTGCAACATATGCAAATGGTTCCCATTGTTGCTGTTGTTGCTGCTGTTGCTGTTGTTGCTGCTGTTGCTGTTCGCGCATCTGGCAACATCTTGTTGAGCTGTCAAAATATGCTTGTTAACAACATTTGTTGCACCGCACCAACAGCTTGAACAGCTTGAACAGCCCAAACAGCCCAAACAGCTTGAATGTGCTTGGACCCAGCCATGCATTAGACTAAACATGTTTACAAGCCAACAGCAACTTTTTCGAGTGCAATGCTTTTAGGAGCTGCTTTCCATTTAATTTCTGACAGCAGCATTTTCTCTCACTCTGCTTTATTCTCTCTCTCTCTCTCTCTCTCTCTCTCTCTCTCTCCTTTTTACTTGACTTAGTTAAAAGGCGACAAAAATAATCATCAGAATTGTCCGTTGTTCGTTGAGTTTTATCTCGTGCTAAACTCTCCATAAATAGCCAAACTCAGTTCAGGCCATGCTGAAGATATGTGTGCGAGCAGTTCCCGCTGCCGCCTTGGGCGTGCGTTTGTCTAATAGATCAGCTGCAGCAGCAGCAGCAGCAGCAGCAGCCACAGCAGCCGCAGCAGCGACTCAAATGTGCTTTTAGGTCATTTATCATCTGGACGCTGTCTGCAATTTCAGCGACTGGGTGTCGTTCATGTTGCAGGCAGCCAACGGCCGCTTCTATGCCTCTGCGTTAGCGGCCACATCCTAAGCATGAAATTCGAGCGACGTGCGCGCACAAGGTGTCTGCATTTCAACGCCCCAGACTCGAGCAATGTGAGGTGCCTCCCCTACCCCTCCCGCCTCCCCCTTACCTCTGCCCATACCCCTGCCACCGACCTCAGTCACTTGGCCGCCCTCTCTGGCCGCACGGCAGGCAAACGTAACCTGGACTAACCACAAATGTTGCAGGCAGCGGGCAGCTTGGCTTTTGCTTCATTTTCAGTGAAAATTATTCAGCATAAATCATTTTAATGTTGCGTGATTTTTAGACGGCCATTTAGCGGCCCCCGAATGTCACTTAAAATCTGCCACATTAAAAACACAAAAACAGACGACAACGAGAAACGGCTGCAAGATGAGGGTTAAGCCGACGGGGCCAAAACAGAGCAAAAAGCAAATTCTCATTTAAAAGCCATTCAACATTTGTTAAATTAAAACAAATATTTATGCTTAACTAAACGAAAGTGTAATACAAACTTTTGTACAGAATTTTTGATATTGTTTTGTATTAAAAGCATTTCGGTGTTTAGGCAACATAAATTGAGTCGCACTGTCAAGGATTGTGAAAAGTTTAAAGTTTTTAATTTATTGCATTTATTAACATTTTGAGAGCACAGACAGCAACTCATATTCAAATTCCAGTTGCCCTGACAGCGCCTGTCTGACGAGACGAGACAAGACGAGACAGTGAAGAGTGAAGAGTACAAAATGTGAGTATAGCTAAATAATTACAGACATTATGGCAGCCACATAAACTTTTTAGCCGAGGCTTTTTGCCCAGGCAACTATACAAATGTATTCAGGCAGATCAAAGCAGTCAGACAGAGAGGGGGAGAGGGAGAGAGACTGATATGGTATACATATAAATGCTATTTAGTTTTGTGCAGATGTTTTGATGCTTTGAAGTTCATTTCAGCTTTGAGTTGACATTCGCAGGAATCACGTCTTTCAGTTCGCAGCACAAATGATACTTTGTTGTGGTCGATAAGTAGGCATACAAAAAAACAAAAGGAATTTTATTAGTACTAATGACAGACCCGACGGCCAGTCCCTAGTGCCACTTACGCCATCAACTTTGGGCCGGCAGCGGGATCGTTGCAGGAAGCGCATTATGTGCGGCGGCATATGTTCCTTGTACATCGCATATTGTTGCAGTACGAAGCGGCAAGAACTGAAGTGCACACATTTGCCAGAGTTTTTGTCGGGTGTCTGGCAGCTGCGGTCTATATAGGCAAAATAATATGATATTAAATGCGGATGTGTGTGTGTGTGTGTGTGCTGGCCATTATCAAATGGCTGCTGGCTGACTTACGTGTGCGGCACAGAGTGGGCAGCAAAATGAGGAGCCACAGGAAAATCAATCGGAATGTGCGCCGCATTTGGAATTCAAAATGCAAAGAAGTAGCCGCCGTTTGCCCCCCTCGTTAATGATGTATTAAAGTCGCGTTAAAGTCTTATACGCTTGAAGACACGGACACAGACTGATGCGGAAACTGGAAGCTGGGCAACAGATTGTTGCTCAAGTAAACAGCTTGGGCAACTTTTGATAAGCGCTCGCCCAGCCCACTCTCTCCCTCTCTCTCTTCCTATCGCTCTCCCTCTCTCTTGAGCGCAAGCTCTTATCAGCGGCGTGCAAAACAAGAGGCCAAAAAATATGTACATAATATGTAAACAAAAGCACACACACACATACAAATACATATACATGTAAAAGCTATAGCCGAGGCAGCCATAAACACATGTTTTAGGCAGCGCATACCAGTATGAACGAGCTATGCTGAACCCTGCTTGGGCTAATACTGTCGCCACCCGCCTCCTGCCTCCCGTCTCCTGACTGCCTGCCTGCCTGCCTGGCCTAGCCTTGTCTATGGCAAATGGATATTTATTATACATCTATGTAGATTTATTGCAAAGTTCAAAATGAAATTCAAAGCGTGTGGAAAGCAGCAGCTGGCCCAGCAGTTGACTTGATGCCTTGCCTTTGCTGTTCGCCGATAATATTAGAGCAGCTCTAAGCTATATCAGCATTACAAATGCTAAGCCAGCACACACTAACCATGCTCCTATCCATTGGCTCTAATTGCAGCACATAATATTTAATTATGAAGAGCATAAAAACATTACAAGTTCATATCTAGATTATATTCAGCGTCAAGTAAATGCTTTGAATTTCATTTTAATGAGCGTAACCACATAGACAGAGCATTTTTTGTGGTTGGGCACGAAATTAAATGAAAAGGGGTATATTGAATTTTATTTACAAATTTGTGTGAGCATATACATACATATGGAATATATCCTATTAAATTCTCTGTCTCTGGATAACAGATAGATCAATGAATGGACTGCGCTTTGGCCCATATCAAAAGAAAACGAATCTACTTTCAACTAATATCATAAACGAGTATTGTGCCGTCAGCTCTACCCGGCTACACAATGTGTTTGCTTGCTTGTATTGTTGCGTTGCATTTGGAAGCTTATTCCATTGCAATTTTTTGCTAATGAGCAAAATAACAAAATCAGGATTATATTCAATTCCCCCTGGCGCACGTACTTACATAAATGTTTTACATTTATAATATATATGTGTTTATAGAGATATGCGCATGTGTGGAAGGTAGTTTCGCTGGTAAAATTTTAATAAAAATGTAAATTGTTTTGCGAGTAGCTTAAGGGGTTTCTGGCACATGCAAACCCAATAAAAAGATATTACTCGTTATGAACTTGGCGGCCGTTTGGCGTTTGCCAAAAGCTGTGCGAGGTGTGCCCGAAGCTTGGCAGTATCATTTCATTGCATTTCATTTCGTTCCATTTATGATTGGTAAGTTGAAGCTGAAAGTTTCGACGCTCACAATATCGTGCCTAGCAATTGTGCGTCTGGGATGCTTTAAGTGCGACCAGAAAAAGTTGGCCATGTAGCCGAGCGGCCATAAAAGTTGGCCAACATATTCCATGGCCATGGTTTATCTAAATATGCAGGCGCGAGCCTCCATGCATATGAATATTGTTATGAGTGTTCAAGAATAAGTTTTGATGGAAAACCTTATACGATTCCCGTTTTTTGATTGCTTATTGCCAAATAAATTTAAACTGTTTTTAACACCCAGCGCGGACAGATCGTAACTTTCCATAACTGCATGAATATTGACGAAACGACGACGGATTTAATGGACATCGAACCATTATCAAGTACATTGCAAAATGCAGACAGACGGACAGTCAGGCGGACAGACAGCCGGGTGATGAAAGACGCATTGTTTGCTCATAAAAGCCGCACATCATTAAATTCCCGAAACCGCTGTGAGTGGTTAAGGCCAACTTGGCACTGCGCTGCTCAGCTCATCCTCATCAAGCCCCTTCCTAGTCTGCACCATATGTAAACGTTTAAGTATGGCATTTAGATATGTGTGTACAAAACATGCCGGAACCGAAGCATAAAAACCGAAATGCGCATAATAAAAAGTCATCATCATAGACATTGGGACCCAATATACCCATGTGCCCCCCTCCAGCCATTGCCATGACTTCAGCCCTTTTACAGATGTGCGATAAAACAGCGCCCGGGCAACGGGCAACGGGCAACGAGCAACAAAGGGCAACGAAAATATGAGAAACAAAGCATAAAATAAAACACTTCGAACTTCGAGTTGACAATTTGAAGACGTCAATAAAGTTTCTAAAGCAGCTCGATGTCAACTCTATCGTTGTTGTTGTTGTTGTTGTCGTTGTTGCTGCTGTTGTTGTTGTTGCATGCGTTTTCGCTTTCATCGTTTTTCCCAATAAAAATTCCTTGGAAATCATTTAGAAAACGCATGCATGCACATCATGTGCACACCCACACACACACACACAGAAAGAGCGGAAGAGAGGGGAGGAGTAAGAGAGAGCGAGAGATGGCCCCTCCCTGGCAGCATAGATAAAACGCGTGTCAGACACGACACTGCCATGGATCATGTGTCAAATAGTGAATCGCACTTGCACCACAAACACCAGCAGCAATAGCAGCAGCAACCAAAACAACAACAACAACAACAACAACAGCTACAGCAGCAGCAATAGTATCACTGTCTGTAGTAACTGCAATAGCAACTAGTAACCAGTTGGCAGTTACCTGGAACAGCATCCGCTGTTGGCTGTTGGCTGTTGTCTGTTGTCTGTTGTCTGTTGGCTGCTGCAGCAGCACTCCAAGACCGTGCCGTGTAGTTAGCTGGTGACAAAGCATAAGAAGTGCGGCAATAGACGCTCGACGCTTGACGCCCGCTCGTTCGCTCGCTCGAGTGCGCCGCTGCAGCTGGAGGCATGCTGCAAGCAGCAAGCAGCGAACAGCAAACGGCACACGCAAATGCACTTTTTGATTGCCTTTGGCTGCTCTTATCTCGTCTCTGGTTGTTTTTCTTATGAATACCAAAGTGTAACAGCGTCTGAGTCGCACAATCAGACTTGGAGTGTTGTTGCATTGTCGTTTTATTTGATGTTCGGGTAAAAGCTTTTATCAAAAATCGTATTGCATGCAAATTAGATTCTTCTCGGTTCTGCCTCTTCCTACACCTCTCTCTCTCCATCTCCCTCTCTCCCAACCATTTGCAATGATGCCCTTCTTACGCTTTGAGCTGCAATCTAGAAAAAAAAACTATACACGTTGCCTTTTATATGATGATGCCATTGTCGTTGATGCTTCAGCTGTCTCTGACACAGCGGCTGCTGCAGCTGCCACCACTACTACCACGGCTGCTGCTGCTGCTGCGGGCCTGCTGATAAAGACACCGACGACAAAGCTGCCAAACACTGATGATTCAGACATTGCATCCAAAGCTCATGCTGCTGCTCACGACCAAATTGTTGTTGCTGCTGCCGCTGCCGCTGTCGCTTCTGCTGCTGCGCTTTGGTCTTTTGTCGCAGGTCTCAATTGACTTGATAAACTTCTTCCTACAATTTTTTCAATTCTATCGTACGCTTTTGCTTGTTAACGTCAACTGACTACACACACACACACACGCACACATGGAGTAAAGGGAAATGCAGGCGTAAAATGAGTTCGCTTTTTCTTTGGACTCTATCGAGCACGTCTTATCTGTAGTCGCATACGTATATGGCCCATGACAGCGAAGACTGAGGCTGAGATGGCAACTGAGGCTGCGACTAGCACTGAGGCAGCGTAACGCCGGCTTAAACACACTCGAATGCATTTCCATTTCATGGCTATGGCTTCATTGCCGCCAAACGTCGTTGTCGCTGTCGTCTGCCGCTTTGTCTGGTGGCTATGCGCCAACTTCCCATATAAATGAGAGAAGAAAAAAAATCTATATATAAGATATGGTACCAAACACCGACGCTGCAGTCACCGTCGCTGTCGCCGTCAGCGTCTCTGCTGTTGGTATTATAGCGTTCATCGAAGCTTAAGGTGTATAAATCACACACAATGCGGTCTTTTGTAGTTTCGGGCGACATACACAAACACACACACACATACACACACACACGCAGGGCATGTCCGGATGCTGCAGTGAAAAAGTGCGCAGCGCTTAGCTTTTTTGGGTCTAAATTATTGCCCAGTCGTTCCGCATTAAAGCTGCAGCCGGCAGTCGGTGTTTTGGGCCAGCTGTTCACAGTTTTCGCTTAGAGCATTTAAATAATAATAGAATTATAATTTATTTTTAACAATTTGTCGCACTGTTTGTAATCATTTGTTAACTGTCAGAGATTATACGCACTGCACTGTGAGTGAAGGCGTTTAAGCCGCTTAACAATATAAAAGCCCAGCTCGAGTTGAGCTAACGCATAATATAATCTCATAAACGGGGCCGGCCACTTGAGGCGCCGCCCACACCCGCCGCCTGATGAATGGCCCCAAAATATTTAAGAGCTATATTTAAAATCAAATAAACACATCTGCCAACAATCAAATGCTTGCCGTACTGTAAATTGAGCTTAGTCTTGGTTTATTTAAGACTCGACTCGACTCGACTCAACTCGACTCAACTCAACTCAACTCGACTGACTGTCGGCATGGCATTAAATGAAAGTGCAGGCAACTGCAATGCGATCCAGTCAAGTGCAAGCTCCAGCTCCAGGCAAGCAGCTTAGCCTCGTTTCTATAGGAATTTGTTTATGGCCAATAGCAATTGGGCTATGAGCAGATAGTGAGGAAAAGAGGGGGAAGTGGGGGGCAATAGCATGGTCATGGCGCCATAGAAACAAATTTGTACACATGTTTCTGTCATTTTATGGAATTATGTGCAACGCAAATGACAAACGAAATAAAATCATTTTCCTGCCTTCTAGACCGAACAGACTTTTTTCCACAACATTTGCCCCGACTAATGCACTGTGGATGTGCTTAGCAAAAGTTTACCCAAAAAAAAAAAAAAAAAAATTTTTCCAAAAATTTCTAAATAAAGTAATTATCATTAGGGAAGATTCTATAACTGAATTTCAACTTGAATTAATTATTTAATATTAAATAAAATATTATCAGAG